TTTGTCTTTGCTTTTCTTTTTAATAAATTCTTGAAAAATAATTGCAAGTTTTTGAGTAGATGGAGTGCAGATAGATAAACTAATAAAATGAGTTCCCAAATGCTCGTCGGCTTAATTGTAATTACTTTTTGCCAAAAGCTGGAGCTGTCTGTCTCCTTCAGTCTCCGTCGCTCGTTGTGTGTGAAAAGTTTTGCCAACTTGTAATTATCACTTACAACATGGAGCTGCCAGCCCCGCCCACTTCCCCGCTTTCCCCATTTTCCAGGTTTAACAAAACTGCCAACCACAAAGGCAGGCCAGTGGTGGGGGGTGGGGGGTTGGGGCAGGTTCCGCCCACACACATGTAGCTTAATTAATAGACATCACAAAGTGCTGGGGAAATTCCTCAATCCCCAGCCCCTGTTGGCATGATGTAGCACGATTCTGGCCACAATAATAATTTACATTTTAAGCCAATTTGAAAATGGCCAAAAAAAGAGAGCATTTTCATTTTCACAGTTAAATAAAAATTAATTACAACAATTTATCGTCGTCGTCGCAGCAGCCACAAAAAATGTTTCGAAACGTTCAAGGCTAAAGATTCGACTTGAAGATCATCCTAGAATTTTCGGCTAAGTTTGTTATGACAGGTTTCAAAAAATCACTAATTGTTGTGTTTTAGAAACGACGTAATCCCAATAATTCGACTTACATTTTTGTAGAGATTTATTTACTTTGAATGTAAATACTTCTTAAATAAATATTTGGTTGGATATATAGTTTTGTGGCTAATAAATAACTTAAGAAGATAACTAATTTTATTTGAAAGGTACTAACGATTTTATAATGTAAAATATTGAAATAAAAAACTGTCCATATATGGTTTTATTAAGACTTCATCTTGTTTGGGACGATTAATTGATGTTGTTAACCATCATACCCATTTGGTTTATTATCCCCTTTTATAGGGTATTTAACGAAACGAATTACAAGGCGTACAACCCTCAGGACAACTGTCCAACTTGGACACGCCCCCTCCCCGCCCTTTAAAAGTCCAAAAGCCCCATCGTAATGTGCGGCTTGTTGTTGTTAAACGTCGGCTAAAACGCAAATGTTAAACCCTTTCGTTAATGCAAAATAATTGCCACGGTTCGTGGTCCGAGTTTTCCAAGTTCCGCAGAAAGAATCTACAAAAAAATAAAAGTAAAACGTCAAAACGGTATTTTATTCTTTCCCTTCCGCCCTTTTCCGGCTTTGGTTGGGTTAAAAATTAGAGCGAAGTCGGTGGAAAAAAAGTGGGCGTGTGCCGAGTTCCGTTTCATTTAGTTTTCAGTTTCCACCTAATTTACCCAATTGGGCAAAAGTGCTTTGTCATAATCAGCCCGGGGGCAAGGTTCGCATATCTAATGAATGAGGAGAACGCGGCGAGGAGCCTGCCCCACAAAGCAAACTTTTCCCGAATGGATGGGTGGGATTTGGGGTCCCGGGGACGGGCATCCTCCGCTGGGCACATATTTATCGAGTTGCTAATAGGCTGTCACATAATTAGCTCTCTAACAACCAAAATCGGACTAACCATCCCAAAAAAAGGTTGCAAGGGCTGAATGAGTGACATTAGCCTTGGCTTAGATGAAAGTCAAAGATGACCAGGAGCGATAATGTCCAAGGAATTCCTAATGCATCTTGGGCTTGTCGGGCATTATGGCCTTGTTCCGATTGGGTTAAAGATTGTGTGGGTTTTTACTTTGGCATCAGTCTAATCTATAAAGCTGTTGGGTTGTTTATTTCAAATCAAGATTCCGAGTGACGGATGAGCTTGAAGGGAAGATGAAGTGAAAGGATTCGGGGTAGCAATAAGTTTATAGGAATGGAGTGTCAAAGATTGCGGGGGTTTAAGCCACTGATTATACAATAATAATACTTCAATTTTAAATTAAATTTTGATAATATAATCAGGACCAAAGATACATTACTGGCTGTAATCTTTAAGGGAATATGCTAGCATGCAATCGGTAATATTAAATTAAAATCAAAGACCTTTTTCTTTTATATTAAAATGGAAATAAATAGCAAAAGGCAAATCACCTCTGAAACTCCAACCAATCAGGGTTAACACTACAAAAAATAGACTATAACATTAAAAAAAATTACATAATTTTTCCCCGGGGCTACCGAATGCATAGTTAAACCCAATCCTACCTAAGGGTCTCTCATCAATTTCAGCTTGTTGAATGTATTTGTTTCTCCCTACCAACCCTCATCATTCCTAATCAACCGATAGGGAGAGAAGGGTATCGAAATAAAAATATCTAATGCTCCTTCCCAAAGGTCGCATTTAAAATCAACCGAAATTGACTTTGAAAAATGGTGTGAAAAACACAGGGGAAACCCCAACTCAATTCCAGAAAAAGTTCGCATTAAATGCATTTTGCATGACTGTGTTGCAATTAACGATGCGGAGCAGCTGCAATCAGGCAATGCAAAAATTAACAGTCGAGGTCAAAGAAATAGAAACGATAGGAGCGTTTAATAATTGAAGTCACACTTAGTCATAAGTCTTAATTCTTAATTTGTGGTATTAATAGTACTATATTTTAACGTTGGTTTCAGAAAAAATTCCTGCAAAATTATTTAATGCACTGCACGGCTTTTCAACCAATAAAAAGAAATGGTAACAGAATATTAAGTGAATTACAACTTTTCTCCCATTAAAAAAAAAGGTTTTAGTGATCAATTTAAGTATCAATTAATCTGTTTGCAGATTCCATTGGCAGTCTTAAATGTTCATGAAAGAAACATCGGTTCCATCAATATTTACAACACTGTAAATTCAGTGACAGGGAGATCGAATCGATAATTATTGTTGCAACGCCTCAATAATTCGGGTTGCTTTTTTTGTTTGCCATTTTGGAAAAATGGTCACAAAAAACAACATCAAAGGGAACAACCGTCGGGCAAACGCAAACAGTGGTTGCCAATGGGCAAATGCAGAAATGCAAACTCTTTGCTGAACTGGAGTTCTGCTGGCCATCATGTAAGTTGACCGTGTGAGATGATGGCCGGAACGGCGATGATTGCCATGGCTTCGTCGGGCGAATTTGTATATGGCAATGGTCAATGCTAATTGCCAATTATGGACAAATTCGGCCGAGCGCGAAATTAAATTAACCCCTTTTTTGCGCTGCCCCATATCGGCGGGCGAAAATCCGCATCTGCAATCCTTGACCACGTCATCAATCAGAAGCAGCAGGCGACAAAACACAAACTACGCGATGTGCAAATATGAAATATTTATGGCCACATATCTGCCTGAATTGTTTCCGAGGACACGGGGCATACGCGAATTGGTTACGGCCTTTGGTCGGGCAAACAAGTTGACGGGAAGGCCAATTAGTCCTTTCCAGTTGGCGATATTAAGCCTTGGAGTTGATTGCTAAGCATTTAATTTGAATATGCATAATAAAAAAATAAATGGAGAAATAGTAAAATACTTTATTTACGATTGATGGTCAATAATAAAATAAATGTATCTTAACTGTGTCAACAAGTTTGTAAGCAATTTCATTCTTTTCCGTTCCATGTTATTATAATGACAAGACAATTTGCCCCTTAAGCTAAAATTTTTACTTTTTTTTGTTTTTTTTTCCCAATTTGCGATATATATTTTTATAAGTGTACAAGATTTAAAATACCACTCCTACAACTTTTAGAGTACCCGGCCATCAGTTATATTTCAGCTCTTAGCACATTCTTATGTTTTACGAAAATAAAGAGCAACCGCTTTAATGCCAACATATCGATCTGCAATTATAAATTGCAAAGCACAAAGGCGAAAGGGATCTGGAAAAAACAAACCCCAATAATGCCTCAAATGAGTTAAGTGGCGAGCAGAATCGGAATTATTTTACCCCCCTCTGGCACTCAATTTGAGCATTAAATATGTTATGTAATAAAAAGTTGCTATAGTTTTCCCTTCTCGAGCGGCCTGCCAATGTAATTTCATTTCGTTTTTGTCGCGATTTTTACAGCGTGGAAAACGCTGTCGAGTGTAAAAAATAATAACACGCATCGCGTCAGATTTTCCATGTTTGGTTATGATAATGGAGCGCACAATGAGAGAAAGCCCGTTGGATATCCTTTTTTTCAGCCGCTGCTCATGTGGTTTTTCTGCTGTCGGGAAGGACTTTTCTGGCACATGACACAAGCACATGGGTATTGTGGTTTATAAATGATTCATAAAACTGTACGTATTGTCTTAACGCATCAAAGGCAATCTTTGTCACAGGAAGCAATGAATCCGTTCGAAGTTTCGGCAGGAGGCCTCCAAAGGGTAAATAAAAACATGTGGGGAATACTATAGCCTTGAGATGCGACTAAATGATACTTATTGGTTAATTCTGTGTTGTATAATGTGTTATTTAATATGTTCTTTCTATTTGTGTTTAAGAAGTCATTACTGAAATTAATAAATTTATTGAATTTTGGCAAGACTATAACGTGTGTTTAAAACGCACATGCTTTAACAATAAAACTTAAACCAACTTGACAGAAATCCCAAAATACTTGCACTTTATCTTTTATCTTTGTACAGATATACTTATACCTTTTTTTTAATCCCTGGGTATGAAATGAAATCAAAATGGAAATGGTCTCCAGCATATATAAAATTATCCATTATATCTTCAAAGAATATTTTCTGGTTGGGGAAAACAAATAATATGTATTTGATGTTTAGCTGTCACCTATTTAATCATGTCTTCAATTCTATTCGGAAGGAGCTGATAGGTTTCATGAATTTTTTTGTTTTATTATACATAAGTAATGCCAAACAAATAACATTAAGTATAAATGCCCAATTTATAAATTGTTTTAAACCAATATAAATTTAAAGTAAAACGAAAAACAAACAGCTTGCTTGCCTTGTGGCCACATTGAAATAGGAATGAATTTCGAACCACTTGTTTTTCCCAGAACCTATCCTTTGCCTAGACTGTCAATTATTTCTGTTGTGCCTGCTTATACGGAATTGAAATCATTCAATAAGATTGTTCAGTCATGACTGTAACATATACCTCACGCGTTAACACCTCGAGTGTTTTTAGCAACTTTTTGGGGTTGCTGGTCAGGTAAGTACACCAAAGATATTGTGCTGTATACTTTTCCTCTACATTTTCTTTATATTTTCTTATTTGTAAAGATGGCGCGGCAGTATTTATAAGTTGATATGGCTTGATCTGATTGTGTTCTTTGGATTGTATTGCGTTCTAGCGATTATATATCGCCTGCTGATGAACGAAGATGGCAAAAAGTGAGTTTACATTTATTTTACTCTGCATTGCAATAAGCTTTCAGTATGCAGGTTTTTTGAGGCTATTATTTATTATTGCGAGATAAATGGGTCCCTGATTCCATTGTCCTTTGTGCTTGGATTTTTTGTTAGAATTGTTATGAACCGCTGGTGGGAGCAGTACACCACCATTCCTTGGCCGGATGGGATTGCCATTCTGATCAGCACCAGTATCCATGGCTCCGATGACAGGGCCAGGGTCATGAGGCGAACCATCCTAAGATACGTCTGCCTGTGCCAGGTGATTGTTTTCACCATGATTTCGCCGCGTGTGAAGCGTCGATTTCCCACCTATAACCAGATCATTGAGGCCGGCTTTCTGCTGGAGAACGAGAAGAAGATCATCGAGGCCCTGGACCAAGCTTTTCCGACTTATCCAAAGCACTGGATGCCCATCGTCTGGGCTGGCAGTATTGTGATGAGGGCCAGAAGGGAGAACAAAATCCGCGATGACTACGCCGTTAAAACGATCATGGACGAGCTGAACCAGTTTCGCGGATATTGTGGTTTCCTGCTCTACTACGATTGGGTCAGCGTTCCACTGGTCTACACTCAAGTGGTCACCGTGGCCACCTACTCGTTCTTCCTGTTCAGCCTGCTGGGACAGCAGTGGAGCGAGAAGAGGCACCGTGATGATGGACTTAATATTCAGAAGTGGTTTCCCATCCTGACCGTTCTCCAGTTCTTCTTTTACATGGGTTGGCTCAAGGTAGCCGAGACTTTAATAAATCCTTTTGGAGAGGATGATGACGACTTTGAGGTAAGATCGATTATATTTATTATATTTATTTTGGTATATGAACATTGTATAATTAGAAAAAAATTTATTTATAATGTTTATGTATCATCTTATTTGTCTTATTTTAAATAAACAATATTTAATATTTGCTTGAGAAATATAGCTTTAAATTAATAAGAATTTCCCTCTGCTAAAGCTTAATTGGATAATCGATCGGAATATCACTGTTGCTTATTGCATTGTGGACGAAATGCACCAGGAGCACCCGGAACTCGTTAAGGATCAGTACTGGGAAGAGGTCTTCCCAAGTGAAATTCGGTACGCTGTACCGGAAGCTTCTACTGCCCGTATGGAAACCCAATTCCAGAAAGTAACGTTTTTTGAGTTCTTAAATATTAATATTTTATATCCAGTTTAAAACTACTTAATTTAAAACTAATAACTAATATACTAACTATTAGTTTGTGTAAGATGTATGGACTTCAAAAAATTTAAGTCCATTAAGGTAATAAGTTCTAAAATTTGGCTCAAGGAATGAAAGATTAATTTTAAGTCCATCATAGCTGAGGCTTTAAAATCCTAAAACATAACAATAATTAAAGTTAACGTTAAGTTGAGTTAAAAACAAAGAGAGAACGCTATAGTTCGGGTGTATCTCGCACTATCAGATAGTCCCGTTACTCAGGTAAATGGGAGTGCGAGGGAGATGGACCGATAGAAACTTCTGATTCACGCACTAACTTTTTAACGATATGGTCCAATTTGAAAAATTTCTTCTACATTTCGATAGGTGATTCATAAACACAATAAAACTGCATTTTTACTTTTCCGAAATATTTAAATTTTGGCATATCCAAATCAGTTATATAAGCGATTGTGGACGTTAAAGGCGGGCGTGGCAATCTTTTGAAATCCAAACTTGCGCTAGCGTAAGAACTCTGCATGCAAAATGCCAATCTTCTAGGCTTTTATAGTTTCCGAGATCTCTAAGCGTTCATACGGACAGACAGACAGACAGACGGACAGACAGACGGACAGACGGACATGGCTATATCGACTCGGCTAGTGACCCTGATCAAGAATATATATACTTTATAGGGTCGGAAACGCTTCCTTCTAGCTGTTACATACTTTTGCACGAATACAATATACCCTTTTACTCTACGAGTAACGGGTATAAAAATCATTTAAAATAGTGCCCCCATCTGCTTTTAGCTAATTAATCAATCATAATTAGAACTAAAACTTACATTAACATTGTTTCGATATAAGTGGTCAGAGCCCTATATAATTAACCTTTAATTTTAAATGAATAGATAACTCATAGGCAATGTAGGCTATAATTCCTTAAATCTTAAAATATTTTTTTATTTGTATGCGGCTTAAAGAGATTTTTATTTCATCCATTTTTAAGTGATTACAAATGTCTTTATTATTAACTCCAGAGACATCATCAAGGATCAGTTGGGTCGGTTTATTCCCTTTCTCGGACTAATCTTCCACGTTCCTTCTTGGGAAGACCATCTGCCACTGGGAGCTACTCGGACTCAGTTCAAATGGAGGAGGGCCCATCGCGAGTTAACTTCAGTAATAATCTATTGCCATCAGAAATGGATGACCTGCACAGCTCCCGAAAACCGTCGCAATCCACAAGTGAGTAAGCAGGGATAAAGTTTGTTTACTTAGAAAAGCTCAAAGATTAAAAATCCTGGACCTTTTCGAAACGAAAAATACGTTCACCGACTTACTCAAAAGTTGACATTACCTTTTGATAAGTACATGACCTGTGCTGGCTAGCAAAAGAAAACCATAAGTTGGTCATTCGTTAGCTTTTTTATTTGACACCATCAAAAAAGGGTCTCAGTTTATAATAATTACTATCTGATATAACCTAACTTGTTGTCGGGGGTCTGCCAACCATTAAGAAATAAAATAAAATACATTTCTATTGATTATATTTAATAAACAACACTAACAAATTTATCCTAAATTACTTAGTTGATTTCAACGAGCTCATTGAGCAGCGTCGCCGTGAACGAAGGGAGCGAATGCGCCACCGATACATGGATATGCGAAGTACCCATCTGCGCCACGATATTTCCGGTGCTCCGTACACGGTCACAGTTCTTCGTCCTCCTTCTGATCAAACTATTTCGGAAGACCAGGAAGCCGGAGAGGAAGACCAGCAGGATCCATCGAGCAAGGCACCTCCTCCAAATAAGACAGAAAAGCACGATTAGAGCGATGAGAGGAATGAAAAATGTATTCATTTTCAATAATTACCAATCTTTTATCTATCTGATTAAATGTCTGCCACAAACTTTAAAATTAGTGTTCTTTAGACAAATCTTTCATATTAAAATTTAAGAAAAAGGATTTTAAAAAGGTAACTAAGCCGTATAGAATATACAAATTTAACTAATGGTTTTCTTTTAAAAATCAATGACTTAAATATAATACTCATTTTAAGACTTATTGTAAACTACCTAATGGAAACTTATTTTTGTTTACCGATCTGACAGATTTTTTTTGGATATTTATAGATAAGTGGAGTAATTAAAAAAATGTATTTCCAAATTCGCAACATTTTTGTTATTGACATTTGTTTTTATTTTATAAAAATAATTTATATTGCTTCCTTCAATTTTTAAGTAATAGTGACTATTATTTAAGGACTTAAAGCAAAATAACCTTTTGATAATATTTTATCATACCATTAGTATCTTACATGTCCTTTTTAATTATTTATGTTTATATTATTGACTGTTTCTTGTTCGTATTCACATTTTTCCTTTTCTATTTATCAGTCTCCTTGTCCTTATCCTTGTCCTTCTTCCGCTGGCTAATGAAGCTCCTGTCGGTCTGAACCTCCGAGTTCTTTTGTGGGACATTACTTCGACTCGATCCCGTTGCCGATCCGGTATTCGAAGCCAGCTCTCCCTTCATCAGCTCCATGGCGAGGGCGGCCTGCTGGAGCTGCCTGTTCATTCGCTCCCTTTTTCGCGATTCCCTCAGTAGCTCGAAGTCGTCCTTGCTGCCAGAACCCAGAGTCCTCGAATCCACCTCGCCACCTTCCAACTCCTCGCCGCCCATGTCGTCAAAACTTAGCGTGTCTTGACTTTCCGAGGAATACTTAACCGAAACGGAGCTCAAACTAAAAGCACGACCGGCAAATCGGATCATTACTTCAGGATTGGCTTCGTCCTCTTCAAACTCGGTGTAATCGATCTCCGAACTGACTTCGCTCTTTACTGATTGTTGGCCGTGGACGACTTTCGGGATGCCCAACCGAGCGGTGGATGCCTCTGGATGCTCGGCCCTCTCAGCCTCCACCAAATAGGGCAGTTCGTTGGGGAACACCTCGTCCCAATACTGATCCCTCACCAATTGCGGATGGTCGTTGTGCATCTCGTCCACGATCAAGTAACTGACCTGCAGGTTCCGATCGATCAGCCAGTTCAGTTCAAAGTCATCGTCATCATCGCCAAAGGGACAAATCAGGGTTTCGGCCACTTTCAGCCAGCCCATGAAAAAGAAAAACTCCAGGGTACTAAATAATGGAAAGTAAAAAGAAACCACATTGTTGTAGTGTTTGGTGTCCTTATCAATCCACTGATGACCGAAAATCGAGGCCACGAAGTACGAGTATACGGCCAGAGTTACGACCTACGTAAGAGAATAGTTGCTTAGTTTAGGGAAAACCTTTCTTGGTTACAAAAATAAATATGTTAAGCAGACTAACCTGCGTGTAGACCAGTGGCACTGAGATCGTGTCGTAGTGAATGAGCATATTGCATCCAGCTCGGAATTTGTTCAGCTCATCGATCATGGACTTCAGGGAGAAGTCATCCCAGATGCGTCCCTCCTTTCGGGCTCTTGTCACAATGCTGGCGGCCCAGACGATGGGCATCCAGTACTTGGGGTGCTTGGGAAACTTGACGTCCATTGCCCTTATGATGTTCGCCTCGTTTGCATTCAGCAGCCCCACTTCGATCAACTGGTCATAGGTGGGAAAACGACGCTTTATAACGGGCGATATCATCGATAGCACCATGGTCAAGGCCAAACACACATATCTCATGATAGTGCGTCTCATCAGACGACCATGTTCATCCTGGCCACGCACTAGGGCACTCACATAAACAGCCAAGGGATCGGGCCAGGGAACCGTGATATACTGACTCCACCAGCGCTCTATGATTATCCCCACATAAAAGCCCAACACGAAGGACAGCGGAATCAGGTTGCTGTAGCTGTGACAGTACATCACAATGTCCTCGAAAATACTAGGATATTTTTATGAGAAAGGGATACAAATATTTCAACATTTTAAGAAAGGCGTATTTAATTTAACGGTAATCTGTATGGAATATCTTGAGATAGAAATTACATTCAAGTCTAATGTCTGTATAACTAAGTTAACCATTATCCAAGTATTTTGTAAAGAAGTATTTATTATTGAAAGATCATAAAATTTTTAATACTAACTATGAGTTTTAGTCATACAAATTGTTCAATTGTCTTAATGTTTCATTAGTAATCATCACGATTTCTGGTAAACAAGCTATTAAGCTCAACGGTCCGCCTTTAAATCGCTTTAATTAAAATTTGTTACGCTGAGAGAAACGAGTATTTTTCGACTGTTAGACCCCTTTTGTCTCGGGCAACTTGTGCAAATGGTACTTAACATAATTACCTTATAAAATCGAAGCAGCACCTATATTAACAGGCCAATCGCCAGAAAACAAGCTAAAAACGTTATTTGAAAATTACAAAAAAAAGGGTAATATAAAAAAAATGTTTATTTTATTTTTTCTGAATCAGATAATCCAACTTCCCCGCAGAGTCAAACTATTATCTCTGGAGTAAATTGTTGATTTAACTTTGTTTTGAAACATTTTTTTGATATTATTTTCCAAAAAGATTGAGCTTAAAAAAGGCGACCAAAAATCAAGTAAGCTTCCTTATTTGTGTCGAAAAATAGTTTTGGTAGAGTTAAGTTTTAGTACTAGTAGTAGATTAACGAGCACCCTGGAACATTTTTGCTGTCTGAAATCATAGAGTTACTCACGGCTTATCCTCTTTCCTGAGCGCATATCGGTACACCATCGCAGTTATGTAATAGCAGGACAGAAATGCCAGCAGATCGACCCAAATAATCTTGTAGATGCTCGCACGCCATCTGCCGATTTGTCAATACCTCTGTTACTATAGTTACTATATTGGCCGATCGAAGGTGTCTCACCTCATCAAAAGCTTCCAGAAACAGCCGAAGTGACTGCAGGTTGCCACCTCAGCGGTGTACGAGACAGTCATAGCCGAAAATTGTCAATTGGAAAACTTTAATAATACTGAACGGCTGGGAAATCGACTTGGCAATGGCAATGGGAATGGGAATGGGAAACACTTTGTGAGGCCATAAGCAAAGCCAACTTTGAAATTAGTTCTAGTCTTCGGTTTGGCTCGGGGGTAATTTTCCCACTCAAGCATTAAACGAAGGCAATTTGGTAGGCGCGTCACATTTTGTGGGCGTAATTATTTAAATTAGATCATTTATATTTGCCGCCAGGCCAGCAGACAACCCACAAAGGCCAATTTGCCACACATCTCGCCGCACATGTGATGAAGTCTGTTCCTGTTCCTCCTGCTCCTTTCCAGATGTGCACGGTTATATGTATATATACGATTGTCTGGCGGCATCAAGGAGGTGCAGTAAAATTTTAATACCCCAGCAAGCATTCTGTGTGGCTATAGCGGCAACGCAGTGATTTTTCCCACTCCACCGGTGAAAGTGTGAAGAGCATTCCGAGTATCTTATCAGCATTTATTTGCTGTTGATATCATTCCCTGTTGCAAAATAAAGTAGTAAAGTATATCCATTTTTCTGCACCTTTTGGCCCTGAAAATGTAGTTTAAATAATTATAAATTAATTAAAATAAATTTAAAATGTGACTCGCTAATCACATTTAAAATAGTTTCATTAGGCTTGATCTGAAGAATAATTGTACAGTACAAGAATAAATGGCCGGGTAATTTTTTATCAAATGCAGTTGACTTATATTCATGTAGCTTAAAAAACGAAGACTTTTTTTCATGACTTAATATAGCGCATATATTCAAAAACATGTTAAAAGTATTTTTAAGCAAAATTTAGTGGTTACATTAAATTATTCGCTTTAAAATTTGTTTTTTTTCTCAATAATGGTTTTACAAACATCAAAATTTTACTACAAAATGCAATAAAAATGAAGCTCAATATTATCATCGCTACATCTTGATATTGTGATTCAGTTCGAAATAAAGCTCTTTACTTTCAAGTATCTGGTATAAAAATGAGGAAAGTGAGTAATACACTCGTGATAATAAAAACAATAAAATTTGGGTTTGGTTTAATAATGTTTCTAATCAGTTTACAGATAATTAAACAGCTGCTAATGCTTGTGTTCGCTTACAAATGAATTTAATATGGTGCCAAGAATTTTTCAATGCAAGTGTGGAATTTACAAATGAAAATCGTTGCACTGGAATGCTTTGGATAATCGCCATTTAAAAGAGAATACCAACACCTGCACAATGCAATGAAATCAGATTTGTTTAATCGGCTTATCTCGTATCAGGAAAGCATATCTGCAATTATGAAATGAAGTAATTCATTCACCTTCTTATATGGCCCTAGTTTACGTAATTGTAGATTTTACCGAGATAAGACTTATAAGGTGAGTGCTTTGAATGTAGCTTAACAAGTATTGATAGTATCTTTCTAGATCACTTTTAATAAATTAAGAGAAAAAATAATGTACACAAAAATTGAAAAATTCGTAATCGTGCCGTAAAACAAAGCACAACTTGTCAACTGACTTAACCACTCCATAAAATCTACAAATTGACACTCGACAGCTAACGACAATAAAAGCAGCAACATATAGACCAAAAACAATGAAAACAATAACGATGGGAAGACGAGCAGAAAGCATTTATAATTGTGTTCGTCTGTGCGATATTATTATTGCATTCCACTATATAGACGGCCAGTTCTCGTAGCGCTCTCTCTATATAGCGGCCAGAATATTATCTTACACTTTCAGTTAACGTTATACACCGAAACCGTCAACAACCGGGCTGTGCGCCAGTGCGAAAGAGAGAGTGATACGGCACGAAAGAGAGATAGCAATACGAGCTGGAGAAAATTATGAATGTTCAAATCTAAAGCCAAAAAACGGCAGATCGGAAATGGAGTAAAAACGTGAATACAAATAGCCTTATCTAAAACAACATAAATAACACAGTTCTGGAATTGCTTGCAGTGTCGGCAAAAAACAAAAATCTGTTGTTTCGCTATCGCAAAGATCATAAAACCGAAAGTAGGAAAAAAACAACAAAATCAAACAAGAGCAGAAACAATATCACAGCAGCAATATGCGACGTCACACAGAGTGAATCAGTCCCTCTCCCTCGCTCCTTCCCCCTCCCTCTCGCACACCTGCTAATTTTTTTGTATTCGCTCTAATTACAACCCAGATCATCTCGGGAACCCGCCGATCCGATCCCCCGACTCTTGCCTTATCTCTCATAAATCCAGCCGACTTCGTCTCTTATCAATTGTGCTTCGTGTGTGCACTGAGAGAAATCAACTTGTTTTTACATAAGTCCATAGATTTCTAGGGCTTAGAGATCTATAATTAGACAGGAAATAAAGATATTTTTATGATGGCTAATAGCATTAATTAGATAAATGCTTATGAGACACGTGATTTAATTTATTAAAAGACAAGGAATATACAGTGCATATAACCCAAACATTGAGATAATAGTGTCATTTAAAATATTTTTTTTAGTTTCTTAGCTTAATGAAATGTTTCGATACTGAACGTTAATCCTTTTCAGAGACGACTGTAATATGGGTTACATGATATTTTATAATATATTTATTTTAATAAATGAAAGTGAAATTAGCTTTCGTTTTGTTTAAGCAAAATAAATTTATTAAATTAACAAAAAAGGGAAAAACTTTTCTTATTTGAAAAATATGTTGCTTTCAATTAAAAGTGTAATGCAATATCTAAGGAACAATATAAAAATAGTAGATTATAGTAGATTAGTTATTATGTGAATAATAAAACTGAAACGTTTATAGTTTTCCCCTTCCTTTTAACTGCTTAAAACTGTTTTATTAAATTGTGATAGCCAAATTGAATCTGTAAATATTAATTGCTGGATACTGCTCTTTTTTAATTTCTTGATTTTGCTAGTCATAAAATCAAATATAGCATATTTCTTATAGAATATTATTTTACACCCATACAACCTCATTTAGTTCTAGGTGGACTTTTCTCGCCCTGTACCCCGCTCTCTACGTCCATGGCCGACAGCAACAATCGCTCTCGTTGGGCTGAGGAGGAGGTTCGAGTTCGGCTCGGTGGACTGGTGGTCTTATCTTAGGAGGAGTACGCGAAGAATTCGCGGCTGTAATACGACACCAACAGCCTGCAGACAGACGCTCCCAGATCGCCCAGTATGTCAGTCACACTTTTGTAGTCCGTTCTTGATTGTTTTGTGTGAACGGAAATTAATAATAGACTTACAATTCATTAATAAGAATCAGACAATAGCGCGGGGAAAATATTTGCATAGAGTGCACTAGAACAACAACTGCAATAGAAATCGAACAGAAACGGAAAAAGCTGTTTCAAAGTCGGTGAGTAAAGTTTACCATAATTATATAAATACAGCATAAGTTTCCATTCGACAAGTCCGGCAGACTCACCTAGACCCACATAATTATCTTCGCTAGGCGGAGAGCAAATGAAATATAAAGTTAATAAAAGAATGGCAAACAAAGTTGCAAAAGATATTATAGGCAAGAGCTTGAGCATCTGATTCTTATCAAAGTGTCGAGCATTATATTTTTTTAGGAAAAAGGTGTGGGTGCTTTGATTAGTCACCTGTTGGGAAATAAAAAAAATAATGATTTATGGGGGATGCAACGTAGATTCATAAATGCATGTGATGTTTGTTTAAAGTAGTCATCGTTTTGCATTAGAAAAAGCTTATCTAGGGTTGTATTTAATTGATTCAATACTTGCATACAAATCCCCTTTGAAGAACATCATTTTAAATGTTTAAAAATTTCGGAATAAAATGAGTGCATAAAATACAGCTCAATATTGTCCAATATAGGCACACAAAATCAAACATTTACACTATGCTCAGATGACATAAAACTTGTTCTATAATAAACATAGATACAACTTTTTCTATAAGTTGCATAGATTGCTAATATATCACTTTATATAATTGGATAGATTCAAAAATTTCAATTTCTCATAGTTTTACTTTCTAGAAAGGTGCTCCCGCAAACTTTTCCATTACAACATCTCCTTCCCCTAAACCTTCCTATATACCACTCCCCACATATAGATTACCTACATATACCCAATTCTAAGTGGAACAATCGAGTTCAGACGCGCAGCTCACAATAGCCTCGCCATTAACGATTGCAATTTGAGCTCAATTATTTGCATTATACAATCGTACGGCGTCACAAGATAAGGCAATACGTGGACCGAAGTGCATTATGATCTTGGCTAAACCTCTGAAATCGACTAACCGAACCTGCATTTTTTTGTTTCCAGAATCCCAGGGTTTACTGACCTTCCCGCAAATCGAGAGAGAGCAAGAGATACGGAGAAATGGTTCGCCAATTCTCGCCCTGGAAGGTTCTCACCCGGCGCAAACATCTGCAGCCCGATGGAAGCGAGGGGGAGTCGAAGCTGAACCGGGTGCTCGGGCTGTGGGACCTCACGGCCCTCGGAGTCGGGTCGACCTTGGGAGCTGGGGTCTACGTGCTGGCCGGACAGATAGCCAAGGATCAGGCGGGTCCCTCGGTGATGATATCATTTGCCATCGCCGCACTGGCCTCCCTGCTGGCGGGTGAGTTCGATTGCGGCCACAGTGCTGCCCCACTAGAGTGAACTAACGGCCACAAGGCAAAACAGAACACAAACAGTGAAATAAACAAGGCTCGAAATGAGACCTTGTAGACTCTGTCCATAAAAACTACAATTGTTTTTTCATTACTAGCGAAAAGTTGAGAGCATCACTACCTGCCAAGTAAAAATGTGTTGATTATTTAAATTCGTAACTAGTAAATATCATTACTTTACTTTGTGTTTTTGAATAGCACACAAATTTTGGACTTAAGGAAAATATACAATATCCAAAAATATATCGTTTAAAACCTGTTTATTTAAACGGTTCTGAAATCATAATTTTAGTATAACCATGTATTATTTTTATTACTAGCAAATGTTTGTTTATAACGAACAGGAAAATGGAAAAATTATTAAAATTCTGAACTTGTAACTTTTATAAATTTATATTTACTACTATTAAATGGTTGTTTAATGCACTACTTGGCTAGGAATAGTAACTACACTGATTTTCTTCGAAAATATGTATGTTTTTAATAAGCCCCTAACTTTTGTGTAATTTCATAAAGGAGTTTGCTATGCAGAATTCGGAGCTCGAGTTCCCAAGGCGGGATCGGCCTATGTGTATAGTTATGTCTGCATTGGTGAATTCGTGGCGTTTGTCATTGGCTGGAATCTCATTTTGGAATATGTCATTGGCACGGCGAGTGTTTGTAGGGGTATCAGCCTGTACCTGGACTCCTTGCTGAACGACACCTTGAAAAACACATTCGCCGAGGTGGCTCCCATGAATGTCAGTTTTCTGGGAAGCTACTTTGACTTTCTGGCCTTTGGCCTTGTAGTCGTTTTCGGCGGTAAGTGCAACTAAATAATATTTAAGTGAAAATAATGCTGAAAACCTATTTCCTTTTAATTTTGTAGTGGCACTGGCTTTTGGTGTGGAGACATCAACAATGGCCAACAATTTTGTGACCTGTCTAAATATATTCATTTTGGGTTTTGTCATTATTGCTGGCGCAATTAAAGGTAAATATCGTATTATTTCAATTAAAAAAAAATTAAAAATTTTGTTGCTATCAAACAAAATTAAAAAAATTATAGAGAAATTATTTTAGTATTAAAATCACAAAAGTCTTTGAACAAATGATATCAGTTTATAGATTTGCGAAGCTTTGTCTTTTATGATAAACATTCAAATTATTAAAAAAAAATATTTTGCTACTCATATCTAAATATCTGAACAGCTAAACTTTTAGCTAAATAAGATTACAAAAATATATTTAATATCATCGCTATCACTTAAGAAGACAAAAACATAGAGTTCTTAGCCTATGTCAAAAATGTTCTGACAACATGGTAAAGCAATCTTGATTGTGCTCGTTTAATTAATTAATTGTTTTCTTTTCTTTTCAGCTGACTTCTCCAACTGGTCGGTGGATCCGAGTACTGTCAGTACGAATTCTACTATCGGATCAGGGGGTTTTTTCCCCTACGGATTTGAGGGTACCCTCCGTGGAGCTGCCACTTGCTTTTTTGGATTCGTGGGATTCGATTGCATCGCCACCACTGGAGAAGAGGTTCGAAACCCTCGAAAGAATATCCCAAAATCGATCCTGCTCTCCCTGCTGATAATCTTCCTGTGCTATTTCGGAGTGTCCACTGTACTGACCTTGATGTTGCCATATTATCTCCAAGATGCCAATGCTCCACTGCCATATGCCTTTGAGTATGTGGGTTGGCCCGTGGCCATGTGGATTGTCACGGTTGGTGGCTTGGTGGGTCTGATGGCGAGTCTATTTGGAGCCCTGTTTCCACTGCCCAGAGTGATGTACTCGATGGCCCAGGATGGTCTTCTGTTCAGGTTTCTGGGCAAAGTGAGTCCGAGATTCCGAGTTCCCGTCACTGGTTCCATTGTAGCGGCACTTTTCACGGCCGCAATTGCCGGACTCTTCGACTTGGCCCAATTGGTCAGCCTTCTTTCCATCGGCACCTTGTTGGCCTACAGCGTTGTGGCCATCTCCATTATGCTCCTCCGGTATATGGACTATTGCGATGTGGAGGAGTGTCCAGGACAGAGGGAAGTCAGAGCCTCAGAGACCACTTCTTTGACCTCGAGCACAGAGCGATTCACCTTCGGTTCAGTTTGCACTCAACTATTCAATGTCCATCGAGTCCAGGAGCCAAATGCGATATCTTCAAGAATTGTGGGAGTGCTGGCTACTTTGTTTTGTGAGTATAAGAAGTAGGAAATACAATATGACTTTCGTAATATCATCTATAATATCTTTTTAGGCCTTCTGTCCTTGGGAGTTGGGGTGCTGATAATGCAGGCACATCATTTGATCGCCTCGAAAGAGATCTGGGCACTGACCCTCCTCAGTATATTGGTCCTCCTGGTGTTCCTGGTCATCCTGCTAATTTGTCTCCAGCCCAGAGAAGCTCGTCGCAGACTGTTCCGAGTGCCCTTTGTACCGATTGTTCCCGCCATCAGTATCTTTATCAACATATATCTGATGCTCCAGCTGGATAGTTGGACGTGGATACGATTCGGGGTGTGGATGATTGTGGGTGAGTCGGTTTCCACACTTACATCCTTTTGCATGTGGTAGAAATTAATGCATGTGGCACTTTCGCACTAACTTAAATGTCCTAGGTATTCCCATATTCCTTGCATGCTGGTATCTATACGATTGCAAGAATCCACAGAAGAGAAATCCCGAAAGGTTGGCCTTCTACAAGGCGCTGAAGGGTTTTCAAGAAAGTCGGGAGCAGGAGTACCATTGCATATCCAAGGAGAGTGTCTTGACCCTGGAAACTCAGCTAAAGAAAAGTCCCTCCAGTAGCGTGGATCAAATTCAAAATCTTAGTGATGTGAGCGAGGACCTAATTGAAGTTAAACATGCCAATGGAAAGGTGTTCTATGTGGAGGACACAAAGAGTGAGAACTCCACGGTGAGCTGCGATGCTGAACTTCCATCGCGGGAGGACGAACAGTCTGTTCTAGCCATGTTGGACGATGTCCTGGATGCCGAGGACACTCAGCAAAAGCAGCAGGAGCTGGACCTCCAACAGCAGCTTATTTTTGAGCGCCATTTTAGCCTGGACTCCGAGATGTATCCCAGTGTTATAGAAACGGTTATAGTGGCCACCGTCCACAGCAGCGACGATGACGAAGTGCAGGCGGGGATTACCCTGAAATTGAGTAAATACGAGGAATGCAAGCTGGTGGCCCACCAAGTGCTGGAGGACCTGTTTAACAGCGAGGCCTTCTACGAGCAGCTGGAGAGGGTGAAGTCGAAAGGGGATTCCCCGGTGAAAGAGGATGAATTAGTAGGGGATTCTCTTGATGCTGAATCCGTGAACGATTCCGAGGACCGCAAGACCGTTTTCGTTCTCAAACGCTTGGCCTCCCAGACTTCCATCAAATCCCAGGCCTCCGCCATCGAGGATCCGCTGCATTCGGCCAAGTTTAAAGACCGCTTAAGCCACATCATTATGAATGCCAATGCCCACCAGGTGAAGGGGGCCGTAAGGAGGAGCGATGAGGAGGAGGACAAGGAGGCGAAGGAGGCCCAGGTTGAGGAGCCCAAAGCAAGGCCGCTGCTAAAGCAATCGAAAAGCGAAACCGATGTGCGTCGCTTAATGCTCAAGGCCATCAGCGAACTGAAAAGCGACCATAATGAGACTGGCAGTGCAGATGAGGTCCTCGCCGGAGTGCTGCCCACCTCCACCACCCACACCACCCCAGGAAGCCCCTTGAACTCCACAGTTCCAGTTACGGTTCCCGATGCCGTAGCCATTGCAAATGCAGGTGGCAACATACCGCGTCCACCGAAATTCGATCCGGTGCTGTACAAGACCATCAACAGCATTAGTTTGCGCAAACAGCGACCCAGTTTGAGTCGCCAGCATATCGTGGATGCCAAGAACCCGGCACTCTTGCCACCGGAATCGCAGCCGGAGTCGCGTCCGGATCCTGGCGAGCAACCGGAGGAGGCGGAGCCGTTGCCATTCAAAGCCAAATTGGAGGCCATATTGCAGCGGGGTCCCTCGCACCGAACCCAACAACATCCGGAATTGGTGCGTCGCCAGCGTCCGCAGTCCACCTACATAGAAGTCGAGGAGGTGGAGAGCTGAGGGGCTTTCCACCCCCTCCCAACCCTCCAAAGGCCCCAAACCAACCCAACCCAATCCCCTGGTGAAACCAAAGAGGGTGCCATTTTCCCCCAGTTAAAAGTAGTTAAGTCCTGCATGCGAATCGGAATGCAAACGTAGCTTGTTTTGTACATATTTAGCTGTAGCTGTAGTTACTAGTTTGTAGCTTGTACGGAATGCAAGCAATCCTAGATGATAAGTACCAGGTGGATTGTGAGGGGAAAGGGGTTGACTAGGAAGAGTCCTCACAGAATAGTTGATGAAAATCAAAATAGAATGAAGCATAAGGAGTTCAAAAGAAATAAAAACTGCTTGCGGAGAAGGGAAAACAATGGTTGCTTAGTTTTATATAAATAATACTTTAAGAAAACAACTACTTGATAAGAGAGTTTCCTAACCTATAAACAAACAAAATCAATAATAATAAGGTTTTAAAAAAGGAAGAAACGGAAACCAAGAAAGCGGAAATAAATACTTTCAAAGTATAGAAGCAAAACTTTAAATACAACAAGCGTTTTTAAGGGAATAACATTTTAAAAAGTTATAAATTGTAAACATATTACAGAAGAAAATCAATAAGATTACACAAATCCTTAACTTAATTTTAAATCAACACAAATTGTAGTGATATACAATTGAGAGACTAAATAAAAGATAAGATATGATTTAGTGTAAAAGGATTTTTAAAAAGGCATCAGAATGGTATTTTAAAGTTTGTTTAATGAATAATTACAAATTGTTGAGGAAATGAAAGGAAAATCTGCAGATAAATAGAATAAACATTAAGTATTAGGTATTTTATAGAACTTCTAGCGACATCATTTATAGTCTAGATCCACTCCTAATTCCTCGCAATCCCCTATTAATTAACACGCATGCTAAGCTAACTCAAGACTAGTCGTAAAAGTATTAAATAAAACGGTATTACACACGTCAAAACCGAGTGCATGCATAAGATACCTCCAAATACGTAAACTAATCGGTTCTCCACACGTTTAGGACTGTCCATATACTTTTTCTACGGACTGCCAAATAGCTACCGGGAAATGAAGCGACAAAGGGCTGGCTGGCAGAAGCTCAAATATAGCGATCGTCTTTGAACGGAGAAACATCGAAATGTTGATAATTATATATATATATATTTATGTGTATATACACGAATGCATCACTAAGCCACTTTGATAAATTGTGAACAATTTGTTGGTTATAAATAAAAATCTAGTTGTAATTAATAAAAGTCAAATGAGTTTACCTGAGTGTGCCCGAAAAGAAAGGAAAGAATGGGAAGAAAAGAAATGTTGATGGCAACTGCAGCCGCTTCCGGAATCGATTCCCCGATGATCTTGCACAGAGTGTGCTGTATTAATAACCCGATGGATGGGGATCGTTCATTGTCGTTTAATTCCCAGTGGCCTTGTCTTGAGGATGGCTCTGCCTCGACTGCACTGACTTTGATAAATTAATTGGCATCGGCTGATCGCTGAGCGAGTGTGTGCGCTCTTCTCAGGGAGTGTACTTCCCCTTTGCCCTTTACGGAGTTTTCCTTAGTGGTTTTCAAAACGGTTTTACACGGAAAAAATGAAGCAGGAAGGGAAATATGCAAAACAATCAAAGAAACAATACACATTACAATACATTAAAAATATTTCTTTTTCATTAAACCTTAACTTCAAAATAAATTTGTTTCTATAATTTCAAATTTGTTTGGAAAGTACTGCTACCTTAAAATGAATATATACACCAGCAATAAAATTAACCGCAACCAAATGTCTATAATTGAAAATGCCTATTAAACTTACATCTATGCTTATGATATATATTATTATTAATTATTGAATTGGGACTACAACTACACAACTTAGTATTATCATAAGTATTACATTCTTTTTGCTAAACTGGCTAGATAAATCAAACCCATTTTCATATTGTGTTTAATTTAGAAAATGCAGAGGTGTAAAAGATTTTTGTGCAGTGCAGCGCTCCCCTTTGCTTTGATTTTGATTAGACGAAAACATCCCCTTGGGCAGCCGATGCGGCAGCTTCCCCCTTTCCGTGCCAGACCAAACTATGCTCTGATTTATGCGGACAGTCGTTTGGGCATTTCTTTGGTCAGGTTGCTGATGCTTTGGTTCTACTGGTGCTGCTTTGATGCCAGTCTGGAGATTTGTGTAACCACAAGACGAAAGACGAAACAACTGGCGACTGTTTGGCGTCCCAACTCCACGGAAAAGATGGACTTGCTCTCGTTTTTGGGAACGGGATGATGCGGGGTGGCCGACGACTTTTGTGCTGCGTAAGTGTAACAAATTGTAATCGTATTTGGCGGGGACTTTGTCTGGGGCGTGCCCCTGACTTCTCCGCCCCTGCTTTATTATTATTAACTTTGTTATGGGCCACGGGGTGAGGGGCATCCAGTTGGTAGTCCCAGAAGTCGTCTGGTGGTTGTTTTGGTTGTTTGCTACACTTGCTCGCCTACTGTCCGCCCCCTTTATCTAGTCGCCCGTTCAAATAGTTTTATGGCATATTTATGGGCGCCAAAACTTAAAGTCCCTCCAGCTAAGACTTTAAGACCCAAGAAAGGGGAGTTTCGGGGTGGAGTTCAAGATCTCGCCCTCACATTGCCAGAGCATTGACATCGGGCTCTGTGACAAATTGGCAAAGAGCGAAACTAATTAATGCATGGGGAATACTACAACTTTGGATATTGCATTCCATTGCCTGGGAAGGGAGATACTCTAGGATGGGTCGGGTAAATATTCATTGGGGCGGATTCCATAAATAAGGACCAAGTGCATGAGATCAGATATGCTAAATGTGCTCTACATGAATGGGATGACATGTACAACTTAAGTGATTGAAATGAATTGCTTAAGGTGTCCCAATGCAAGACATATATTACTCATATATTTATTTAAGATATTGTTATGTGTAGAAAATGTCTTTGCTTCATTGAAACAGGAGGTAAGCGGACTGACATAAAACTTAAAAAGGTGTCCCTCGTTTATTCAGATAATACAATATAGGCTTTTATAGTACCATTTATAAATAAAAGCTAATCTGTGGAATGAAAATAAAGTTAAACAAATTTATATGAGTTGATAAATACTATAAATATTAAATAAAACATTTTATAATGAGTGGAGTATTCGCATTAATGATAAATGGAATCATTAAACAAAGTGCACATTTTGATATAACTAAAATAAAAATAAAGAATTATTGAGTATTTAGTTCAAAGGTATAACTTTATTTTAAGTACTACTTTTACCTATTCAAATTCTCGTTCCGACTTTCTTTGTTAAATTCCTTTGCCATACCCTGTTCCAAATGAGTTCAGCTTGTGATAAAACAGACATACAGTACTCCCCCATTTTTTCTGGAACAATTTCTTTTCAAATTGGTTTTCGGTTATGTAATCATTGCTCAGCTCTAATAACATTTCGCCCCTTCGCCCAGCCCCATGTTGCCATGTTTTTGTTTGAAGTTTCGTTAGTTTGTTATTATTTTCTCTGCCGTCTAAAGCGGCTTTTCCATATTCATAAAAATTGCGAGTTTTACCCTACACATTCGCATTCACATTCGCATTCCGACAGGACATAATCCTCTTAACGTGGCCGGACAGGACAACTCTCGGCGTTTTCCGTTCGACTTTGGCGTGTCTCTCTGATTTTCTCGTATTTTGTTTTGCTGGATTGTTTCGAAAATTAAAATATGTGCTGGGTGGGTTGAGGGTTTTAGCCAGTAGCGGAAGTTGTCATCATCATTTGTCAGGTAAGTGCGGACTGCAGACTGCAGACTGCAGCGCCCAACTACCGACTGCTACCAAAGTCAATGGCACTCGACAAAAACATTTTGTCAAAACAACGGAGGCGGCTGCTACTGTACGCAAAGTGGATCAGTGGATTTGTCCCTTTCAAATACCCAAAAAAAAGTAATTTCGTAGCAACAGCTGCACGAATACAGGACTCACCCAGCGAAACCATGAAAAAATGGAAAAATGATTAGCATTTCGGTTTAGCTGTTTGCCCAATCGGCCATGACAGCCAGCAACGGATATGGTGCATGTTCAGGTTTTCGGGACTGGATCCTGGATTCAGGATTTCGGCCCTGCGGTATGTGCATTCATATGTTAAGCATGGGATTGCATTCGGATGAGATTAACCCTTTGAGGAGGTTCGGCATCGGGCAAATGAATTACTCTCTAATGGGATTGAAAAGGTATCCTGTGGCTGCGGTCTTGAGGTCAAGTTGAGGGAGATTAATATTTGAAAATGCATTTTGTTTCCGGTTGCTTCTTCGAAAAAGGAGTTTAACCGCTTTTCTTGAGGAATTAGTTATGGATAATAAAATGTGGAATTTGACATCCGGTTTTTGAAACGTAGATTATTATAAATGTGGCCCACCCTTTTTATTTTTGTAAAACGTTTGTATATATTGGCAAATGTGAACAATTAATTTATAACTTTACTGATATGATCCTTAAATATTAACAGCAAAGAATTTAGGTAAAGGAATTCAGTGCCAATCTTATAATTTGTTCCTTTTATTAAATTAAAAATACTCCCGTAACTATACAATTTTTTTAAGCCCTATTTTTTAAAGAAAAGTGTATTTATTCTTTCCAGGTAGTCTACCACTTAACTTTCCAATTGTATTTTAAAACCCTTAATTCACTTACCGCAAACCAATGCCAATCGAACATGTTGTGTGGTCGCAAACCCTCTGCAAAAATCCATCTGCAATTGCTCGCGTCCTTGTACATTTACCTGAAAAATGCCTTCATATAATAGATATCTCAATTGCGAAGACACCTTGCCAATTGGTAATCACGAGATTGTTTGAATTTAATTACAATTCGCTTGATTTCTCAGCACTTCTTAAGACTTCTGCCTTTCTATTAATAACCTGATCTATTCTCTTGTGGCTTCTTCTATATTCCAGGGTGCTCCTCATAATTGCTCCTTTGTCATTTGCCACAGCGTACAAAGGATTCCAGAAAATGGTCGAGGGAAAAATAATACGCTGTTGATTTTCTACTCGACTTCAATTGATTTCTATGCGATATCTCTATGCCTCCAATTTTTCTCATTTATCTTGTTTGGGACAAATGGTTTGTGCTTGTCATAACCTTCCTACTTCTACTATTTTTTAGAAAAGACTGTCCCTTTTCCTGGTGCCCTCTTCTGCAGTATCCTTGGGCATTCTACAATTTTTAAAGAAGAATAATATTTACCGAGCCACGCACAATGGCAGGACACTGGAGAAGAGGACTCTGGGACATGGCATTGTTTTCGCATTCAATTCCCTGACAATAAGCATTATTGAGAATCTGAAATGTGGCCGGCCTGCACACGTTCGCCCCGTCTCTTTCTGCGCACCTCTACCCGTCCCTCTCTAAGTGTGTGAGTGCGCTTAGAATGTTAACCAAGCCAACCAAGCAATTCAAATTCAATTTGCCCCATTATGCGAGGCCCATTGTTCATGGCTAAATTCTAAGGGGCTGTGAGGCATTCTCCAAAGACGGAATGAGCGGGGAAGGGTGGGGGAAGGTGCCGAGTGCATCGGGCCAAGACTGCAAGCCAAGTTAAGTGCAATACAAAAGGCACCCAGATTAAAAATGTGCACAAGACGCATACACAGAGGGAAAATAGCAACCAAATTTATTATCAACTTTGTTTTTGTTCAAAATAAAAATTATTTTTGATTTTTCGAATTCACATTTTAAATTTATGGTCAGCTAAAAGAATGATTGATACTGTCAAATTCCATACTTTCTGGTTATAGTTCTTAACCTTCAAATTTTAATATATATTTTTCAAGAACGTTTGTGTGAATTTTTTGTATATTCAAATATGTGCCTTGTTTAAAATACAATTTAAAAATATTCGAACAGGTTATCTTCTCTTAACGAATAAAGTAATTTGTTTTAAAGCAGTTTTTAATAAGCTTTTTATTTATAAAATTTATATTTTGTGTCTCTGTAGACGGAAGGAGACATTGAGTGAAAGAGTGGGAAGCCATCTTCAAGCTAAATGAATGCAATAAGTAAATAACAAAATGTCGTTAGCATTTTGTGACACACTCACGATCCGTTGGACCATCTCCTTCTCTTTCT